GTTTTGACATTTGCATTATGATGATCTCATCCATGATGCAAGCAAGGAGTATTGGACGTCTATAAATAAATAGCCTCAGGCTCATTTGTAAGACACATCAGAGGTAAAATACTTTGTTAGAAAAAATAGAGAGTTTGAACGGTATTGTATTGAGGTAAAAAATTAAAAGAGGTAGTGGTCTTGAAATAGTTTACTCGGCACCATAAATTATAAAATCGTTGTTATAGAAAAATCAGTTGCTCCTCTCGGGCCATAATTTTTTTTCTTTTTTCTACGTAAAAATCTCGATGTCCTTGTCTTTCTTATTATTGCCATTGGTTACCGTATTTTAGTAATGCACATTTATTACAGTCATATACCATGAATATTATTTATGTGGGGGTATATTTTCCCAACAATAAGGGTATAGAGAGAGTGCAGTATATGCAAACCTTATATTTAGCTTGTGTGAAGTAGAGAGAATATTTTCAATACACCCTCAGGTATAATTGGAGAGCATCTTTGGAGATAATTGTATAGTTATTTGCACATATATATATNGGTTTTGTTTAACTTGATTTGGTATTGAGTAAAAAAAAAACCGAACCAAACCGAACCAAACCAACATATAAATATATAAATTTTATTTATATTTTTAAAACTTTATAGTGATTTTTCTTTAGAAAATGTAGAAATATTTGGGATCCTCTCATGTATTAACCTTGAAAGCGTAAATTAACGAAAAATTATTGTTAGACGACTAAGAAAATAACTATTATGTGTTACTAAAAAAAATTCTCCCATTAGAATATTTTAATAGATCATATGTTTGTCAATTTTTTCCATATTTACTAAACATATATTCACTTATCAAAGCTTTATCTATAATTTTAACAAAGTAAGATTGAAATAATATTCATGTAACAAAAAAACCCGAAAACCCCGACAAAACCGGATCAATCCAAACCGATATAGTTGGTTTGGTTTGGTTTGGTTTAAATAAAAACCGAACCAACCCGGTCCATGTACACCCCTAATGCTAACTAGAGCCTTAAAATAGTCCACTTCAGCGAACTGAGACGTTACAATGCCCAATATGGCTATATCAAGATCTAATGGAAATTGTAAGAAATTTGAACTATTTCATTAATTACTTCAAAATTTTGAACTGAATATTCAAATTCAAAACCTACTTTGTTTTTGCATCGAATTGCACCATAAATTGAGAAGGAGATGATCTTCTATATTCACACACAATTTATATAGAGAAAATGATCCTACAAAGATTTCTTATATTTTATTTGGAGACCTCCTGTATTATATTTTTTACTGATTTCTTATGAGACTGATCATATAATTGAAATAATATTTGTATTGCACTAGAAAATCAAATCTCTCCAAATTGAGCATATAAAAGAGCATCCACATTTTTTGATGAAGCTCTTGCGAAAAAATTGTTATACCACAGCGAGTTAAAGCTCTTTTGGGGCTTGCTAGAGTGTAAATCCATGTGGCTTGAAGAATAGTGCCACATAAAGTGGGCAAAATATGATTGGAAAAATACATAAGTACCCCATGACCTTATATCATATTTTTAACGGAAAAGGGTCGAAATTGCCCTTAATGTATTAAGAAATGGTCCAAAAATACCCTCTTTCCACCTATTGGTTCAACATTGCCCTTAACGTTATTTTTAGGGTTAAAACTGCCCCTCCCTAACAGAAATCTGACATGGCATTGATGGACCTTTTAATGGAACAATTGGAATTTATTTAGTGGTCCATATGAATTTTTTGACCCAACCCATCCATTCTAATAACCCGACCCATTTCGAATAACTCAAACCCTATTGCACGATATTTTAAAATAACCCAAACAACACAGTCGTAAAATAGAGAATTAAAGGCAATCAAAAAATTGGAAGAACTAAATTATACAAAATCTGAAATAAAGAAGATGGAAAATTGAAGAAGGAAGAAGAAGAGAAAAATAAGAACCCTATTTGGAACAAGAGATTAGAAATAATCAGATGTTTAGCACTCAGCACTAATATATACTGAATGCTATTGTCCGAAATAGAGCAGGTTCAAGCTCCTATTACTAATATTGCGTTAATGCTTGGCCCCTTAACTTTTTTGCTAAGAATCAGATAGTTGAATTTTGAAAGTTAATGGGTCTGTCCTCCCATATTTGTCCCAAGGGGTTCTAATCCCTTTTATCTATTGCTTGGAAAAAGTGGAAGTAATCGAAAAAGGAAAGGAAACGAGTCTTAAGAGTCTGTGGACGGGCTTCGGTGTGATAAAAGAAAAGGGTCCGGTTATTAGAATGGATGTGCCAAGCTTTTGGGTTGGGTCAAGAAAATCCGTGTGGACCACTAATTGAATGCAATTAAAATGTCCATTATTGCCATGTCATGATTCCGTTAGGGGATGGGCATTTTTAACCCCAAAAATAACGTTAAGGGTAATTTTGAACTAATAGGTGGAAGGAGGGCCTTTTTAGACCATTTCTAATACGTTAAGGACAATTTTGGTCCTTTTTCGTATTTTTAATTACACACTTTTCCTTTACGGGTCCTATTATTCCATAATCTATTTTAATATTTCACCTTCTCAAAGAGAGTAAGGAGCAAATATTTTTAATTAAAAATACTTTCTTACTTTTTCTCTTCTTTTTCTTTTTCTTTGTCTTTTTCTATAATATTCTTTTCTTCTCTTCTTTACATCAGGCTCCTTCGAATAGAACATACACCGACAATGTCTTTTGGCATTTCTTCTTCCATTTTTCAGCTTGTATTCTTTCTTTTTTTATTTTTTTCTTTCTCCCATATATAAATCACACATTCAAGAAAAAATTATGCATATATAAAGCAAAATACATTCATATCCAGACCAAAAAATTTCACCGGAAAAAAATATCGCGTTAGAAAAAATGGAGTCCTTGAAATTCCGACGACCATCATTTTTCAGCTTATATTCTTTCATTCTTTTTCTCTTCCTCCCATACATAAATCACACTTTCAAGAAAAAATTATACATATATAAAACAAAACATACTCTGATTTGGGCAAAAAAATCTGTCACCGAAAAAAATTTGCGCCGAAAAAAATAGAGTCCTTAAAATTTTGTCGACCAATATTTTTACGCCGCCCATAATTACTAGAAATATCCACCATCTAAAATTCCTCCACCAAGAATAGCAGCAAATTAGAGGTTTTAGGAATTATTTCACATATATCAATCGTTTCAACCATGAAAGAAGAAAGAAGACTATATGAATTATATATGAATTGTTTTATTTAAAAAAAAAAGGAAAAAGGAAAAGAAAATAAAGAAAAAAGAAAAGAAAAATAAGGGAAAGAATAGAAAGAAAAAAAATTATTTTTAATGAAATATATATATATNGAACTAAAACTTTACTTATTAATTTTTTACTTATTTAACTATGTTAAAAGTTTTGAGTTAAACAATTTCCTTATATAAACTCCTTTAAATATTCCTATTCAGTCACTTACTATTCTCTTTAACTGTGGACAAAAAATACACACGAACTCCTTCAATTTTTGGAATGGTAATTTTGGTAAGTAAAATTATTTTAAACCCCTTGTAATATGACTCAACTGGTAATACACATATCGTATGTTAAAATAAAAAATATACTAAGCAAATATAAAAGTGTTATTTTTATTTTTCAAAATCAAACAGATTTAAACCCTAGGAATTTCACAACTAGCTTATTCTAAAATGCAAGAAAGAAGCACGAAGGCCCTTAGCAAATTTTTATCCTTTTAAAATAGAGTTCACATTAGACAAAATAATTATTTGATTATTCTTCTAGCTAATATTTTGGTGTTTGAATTAAATCAAATTTATTATTTTTAAATTTTTCCTTATTTGAATTAAGCAAGAATTCTTTACATTTAGGACTTTAGAAAATTTTACCTAGAATACATATAAGAAAATACTAAATTAAAACACTTTGTTTCCAAGGCAATACATTAATTTATGGCAATGCTTATTTCCGTCAACTAGATGAAAAGGATTTTTTTTTGGTTCAAAATTTTTTATTACAGAATTTGACTTTAAGAAATGTAGGAATTAACTTTGAAATTCGTCTCATAGATAATAGGGTATTTTTTGATAATCTATCACTAACCCATAGCTAAATTCTACTCAGCAATAAATATTTGCCTTTTAGCTACATAATTTTTTTTATTTTCTTTAGTTGCCCTGTCTAGAATACATATTACCTAGACAATTATTTCCATCCGAAGTTAAAACAAAAGAAGGATAAATAATAGATCATTAAGCTATCGAAATTATTTTTGTTGACCAAATCTGATTAATATTCGCCATTTTTAAGAGCTTATATTTTCTTAATTCTATTTTATAACTCAAACACATTATTTAATACTCCCTACATTCCAGTTTATGTGGACATATTTTCTTTTTGGTCCGTTCTAAAAGGAATGACCCCTTTCTAAATTTGGAAACAAATTAGTTTAAACTTACAATTCTACCCTTAATGAGAAACTTTTACAACCATACAAATATTCTGGGCCTCTTTTGACTTGTTTAGGACCACAAATTCCAAAAGTCTTCATTTTTCTTAAACTCCGTGCCTAATTAAACAGGTTTACATAAATTGGAACGAAGAAAGTAATATTTATATAATTTTAAAATTTTATTCTCATTGATTTAAGGTACACGCGCAAAATGTATGTGTTTGTGTTTTAAGGAAGTGTAATTCACAAACCAATAGTAATTTAGTTGTATTTCGAGGGTGAATTTATTTTATTTAAAAATAGTTCGGGGGAGGGGGTTACTTATACATATTTTTGTTCGACAAAGAAAGCAAAGTTAATTACGGTAGTATTTTTTTTTTTTTGTGATTCATTGGACCAACTGCCGACTTCGAAACTCGATGGATAATGGGCTTGTCGTACTCTTCTCCACTTAAATATAAGACTTTATTTTGCAATGATGTAGGGCTTGAAGTTGTGACCTAAGATACAAATTGTGACCTAAGATAAAAATTCACCACCATTTGTCACTTGAGCTAGGCCTAGGGGCAAACTGAGGGTCAAATTAGGGACATTTCACCTTAATTTATAGACAGATTAGGGTTTCAATCTTGATTGGGATTCTGGCTGCAGAGGCTGCACGTCTCCCGTCCAGTCTCCTGGTATTCTTCTTTCTGCTCTGCTTCTCCTCTGTTATATTTCAGTTCTGAAGTTTTATTTCTGTTTCTGCCCTAGTGAGGGGTTGTAGTGAGGTTCAACTGCTGATTTCTTGGTGAATTTTTATTGATCTTAGGAAGCCAGGCTTTGGCTGTGAATGAGTGAGGGTATGGTTATGGCATAAAGAGCGATCCTTTTTTTTTTTTGGCCCTCACTGTTACCCACTAAAAATGATTATAATCTTGTAGTATTAATTAATCTGAACAATGGATATAGTGGAAAATGATGAAATATAGCAGGTACTTATGATGGATCTGTGACCAGATGTACTCCTGGTGCTGCCAATTTTGGCTCTGTGCTGAGCTTCTAGGACACATTTCTGGTTGATTATCCCATCAAATACTTGCTGATTCCTTCTCTATCCTTTGTTTAGACCAGCTTCCATGTCCTGATCTACTACATTAGATTTTATCCTTTTGACTCTTTTACTAAATGGGTTCTTTAGTACTAGCATGTTTGCTAAGGTCAGACTGTCAAAGAGTCTTCCTTTTTCTTGTCATTTTCTGTGTGTATCTGAAGGGGAGCCTAGATGCAACAATAAAAGTTGTTGCCTTGAGACTAGGAGGTCAAAGATTCAAGCCACGAAAACAGCCTCTTGCGGAGATGTAAGGTAAGGCTGCATAGTGGGAGCTTAGTGCATTGAGTTTGTTTTCTTTTTGTTTTGTTTGTTTGTTTTTCTTTTGTCCTTTTCTTCTTTGAATTGCTGAATGTCTTTGGAGTCATAGTGGAGCTGTCTGAATCAGATTATATGATTAGGGTTTCTCAGTAAAGCAGTTCATCATGAGGAGGAAGGGTTGCAGATACGAATGCTGGAAATATATAAACATTCACCAGATATAGAAAAGCATTTGAAGAAATTACAGGCATGACTTGGTTATTTAACAAACATCAAGTTGATTAACTTTTTTGCACTCTTTTGGTAATGTTCCTTTAACATTTTGCCCTCATCGTTAATATGATGATTATTATTTCGTCATGGATACAAAGAAAAATGTGAATAAAGATTGTCTTTTGCAAATCTTATCAGCCTTTATGGTCATGGTGGTGTTGATTGATACTAGAAGATGATGCCGTTGTGCTTGTAGCCTCAAGATTTTCGCCTCCCAATTGGCCTAGTGAACCCTTCTCCACCTTTTCCTTTTTCATGATTTCTTCATCAATATGTATATCTTCATCAATTGTCAGAATGACAGCTTTTGTTCCATCTGGACGGGTTACAATGTCTTCGTGGACCTTCATATGTTCATCCACTTTCACGATATCAATTTCCTGAGAGGTTTTCTTCTTTCTCTTCTTAAGGAAGCAACATAGAGCAACTGAGAGAAATGCCAGGAAGAATAGACCACCAAGCGAGACGAATATAATGATGATGGTATGAGAATGATGTCTGGGTGGAGGTGGAGGTGGGATTGGAACAACGTGCGGTGGAGGTGGAGGATAGAAGGGACGGGGTGGTGGCTTAATTGGTGCTGGGGGTGGTATTGGATGACTCGGTGGCTTTGCAGCTGGAGGTGGTGGACTAGGAAAATGATGTGGTGGTGATGGTGTAACTGGCGAATGTGGTGGTGATGGTGTAACTGGTGGATGTGGTGGTGCCACTTTTGGTGGTGATGGTGTAACCGGCGGATGTGGTGGTGCCACTTTTGGTGGAGAGGGCGTAATTGGTGGATGTGGTGGTGCCACTTTTGGAGGTGAAGGAGGTGTATTAGGTTGGTGGGGTGGTGGTGATACACTTGGTGGAGGAGGGTGAGGTGTTGCTGGAGGAAATGGATAGTTATGAGGTGGGAATGGGGGGAAGTAGGGGAAGTTGAAATTTTGAATATTAGCCATTGCAGTGGAAATATTTGCTTGCTAAAAGCTTATATTGAGTAAGCTGTCTGTATGATGTTTATTGTTAGTGTTGAGTTGGGGATATATATTAGGTGTTAGTATGATAATACTTGTAAGGTTCTTGTGACTTGAACCTCAGTCTAAGTTTTGCCCGGTTGTCATTGGTTGCATTCCAAAACACTCATTTCTTCATTTTTCACGGCGGTCATGCTAACCACAGTTTCATACAATAATCATATCTATGATTTGACAACTAATTGAACCTTCTTTCTCCTCAATGTTATATTATGCCATAAATGGTTCCTGTATAGATTCTTGCCTGTTGGATGAGAGCTCCCAGTCCCAAAACCCATTGTGCTGCATCTTCTGATGTTAGGGAGGCGAACTGTAGTTAAAATAATGTTTAGAACTTTCAGCATGAAGTTCTTATTTTAATACTTGGGGTAATATATTAGCGTGTATTATGTATGAATAGATTTAACTAGATGAAAAATTGTTGAGCTAAACGTTACTATTTGACTTTAATGACGTCTCCTCCGTCTCTTTTTTGGTACTATTGCTTTCTTCATACAAAATTATTTGGCGTGGGTCTGAATTTATCTTACCTAAGTAATTTGAATTACTGATTATTTCTTTGTCTAACATGAAGTAAATTTTATTTTAATGAATTTACTTTCATGTAGAATGGTGAAGACCTACCTCAAATTTCCAATACACAGAAAAAGAAAAAGGACAACAAAGAGATTCAGTTGCAAGTGGGCCAGAGCTTCCCCAATACCCCCTAATCGACCAAACTATATGTACACGAGTATATGTTTTTTTGAATGATAGAGAATTACGATTTTGTTTTATATTTTCTTTTGTTTCGGTAAGAAAGTGATAAAGAGAGACGTCTTCCAAATGCACACTTGATTNCCTGCAAAGTGGAAGATAATAAAAGAAAAATTTTAGTTTGCCCAAGTTTAACAAGTGTTGTCCTTTTGCTTGTCCCATGGGTAACAGTCTTAAATTTTGATGTTGAACTTCTGCCCAATGGGCAAACGGAGGTTAAAAGTTAAAATCACTCTAAAAAGTAAAAAGTATTGTATTTTTTGCAATTTTTTGCCATGTCCTTTTGAAGTGGGCTGCTATTATCACGCCAAGGTGTACAAAGGCCCAACCAACCCAAGAAGATATCTCCTGCCCGAGACAGGGAGTGAGACAGATTGGTATCTAGAGTACCTGTGTCGCGTGTGTGTTTATTTTTGAGTTGGTATTGTTTTGTCGCTGGCAAAATATTTAGAAGTACAATGAAGTATACTTGAACAGAACGAAGTGGATACACGTGATTCAGATGCTAATTCCGTAGCTGATTGAACATAAATTAAAATGAGATATAAATACTTTTATGCGTTTATTTTTCCTGTAAAATGGTGAAGGCCTAATGACGTTCCAAGTTTTTTTTTTCCGCAACATGAAGATTTCCAATTTACCATGCAAAAATAAAAAAATAAAAAAAAGATTTCTAAGTTACTGCAAGCTGGCCATTGAGCATTCTCCAATTCTCCCCAATAGTAATCTGAGGATCAACAAAAATTCAAGATTAAGTTGACTTTGTTGCGATGATTAGGCCTTTTCGTTTTCAGAATATTGAGCGACTCAGCAATAAGATTACATCTATTTTCAATCTTCCTTAACCAATAGCTTGTTTGTCCGACACGCAAATCGAATTGGAAAGAAGGTAGTACTTTAGTTAGATTATAGATTAAATATCATGTCAAACATTGGCCAGGTCAAATTATGAGCTCGGATTCAGGAAGTAAAAATGAAAAGAAAAGTTCCGACTTCCGAGAATGCGCTGGCGATTTGATTACGGACTATGAAGAGCCAAAAAGTTACAACTTGAGTACATAAAAAATAAAGATATATAGGCTATGAACTTGGTCATGTTGCACCTGAGAGAAAAAAGAATGATCAATCGTAATCAGTCGGCGGCTTACTATAAATAGCCTCTAAAGTAGTAAGTAGTTTACAAGCATATTCATTATGTACACCCCCCTTATTGTGTTCATAGTCTTCAGTTCTGCTGTGATAGCCTTTTTGGTCATTTTGTGCTGCCTAAAATGCAGAGGCTATCAGACTGAGGAAGGAGCCGATATTGAAACAGGTGCTGCGAACCCTAGTGATGGTCACGGATTAAGCGACGGGAATATGGTTGTTTTGGCCGGCGCTGGAGCTACTATCGCCGATGGAGAAACGTACCAGGGTTGTTGTTGCGGTGGTGGCGATGGTGGCGGTGATGGTGGTGGTGGTTGCGGCGGTTGTGGAGGATGTGGAGGTTAATTAGAATTAAATTTGTTTTGACAGTCGACTGTGAATTTATGTGCATTAATAGACTTCTCTTTTCTTGGTTTGCTTTTCTCCTCTTTCCTTTTTTTTTTTCCTTCTTTAATTAGGAGTTGGGGGAGGGGGTGTGGAAGGTTTTGGATGCTGAAAAACTGAAAATTCTGGACGTGTACAATTGCTTGAACCATAACGAGTTATCCTAATCCGTAACCATAACCCATTGTGCTGCATCTTCTGATATTGGAGAGGCTAGCTGTAGTTAACATAATATTCACAACTTCCAACATGAAGTACTTGGTAAGAAAATGTAACACATTATAAAGAGAGACGTCTTTCGTATTGTTAAATACTTAGCACCTAGTGGTGGCAAAATGGACCCAAAAAAAAAAACCAATTATCTATATATATATATTGGCCACGTCCAAACCTACTCTCAAATTAAAAGTAATACGGTCGATTGCAATAATAAACCCAATAAGGTTGGGATCGATTCCACGAGTAGTATGGTGTGTGCTAGAATGTCAAAGAGTGTGTGAATTCAATGAACTTAAAGTAATCTTCAAACAAAAGATTGATTTTCTGCAATTACTTCTAAAATTATGACTACAAAATTTAATCAAACACTTAAAATGCGAAAATAATTAGCTAGAGAGTTAATCAATGAGAGAAAGTTGCTCATCCTTCGTGTATGCTATGTTGTGTATAGATGTATTCGATTCCAAACAATCAAATATGTGTTATGACAACAATATTAATAATACCAACATACTATTTTCCAATCTTTCCAAGCTATTTAGAGCTCCATACATACAATTGTAATGCCCAAGTAAGAATCTCTCTATTCCTATTTTGATTCCATTAATTGAGAGGAGATTAATTCCTTAATCTACTCAATTTCTTGCTAATTGCTTTATACCTAAATTCAGTTTCACCTTTCCAAGTTAGAACTAAGTGTAATAAGCGTTAATCTAGTGTTTGCAACCACAAATCTTACAAGAAAGCATGGAGCAATTAGATAACACAATATTTAATCAAAGACGAATCTATAGAAGAAACAATCAAATTATCCTTCAATCCTGTCATTGATACTAATAGAGAAGAAGAAGATTGAGAAACTCTGATGTCACTTGTTAACTCTTAGGAAAACTCACAGCCGCTCGTACAATATTCTCTCTGTCAAAAGTTTTCAAAAAACTAAAAAGTACTATTTATACTCTTCTAAAAAACTGAGAAAATTATCATCTTCGGATCTTGCGTGGCCAAGTTAAGTGGCCCACGCAGGATGCGTGGCCCAATACTCTGTTTCTTCAGCTCTCAGTGCGTGGCCACTTCCAGAACATAAACTTTCAGTCTCCTAGTTCTCCTACTGCATGGGTTACTTGCGTGACCCACGTAGGATGGACTTTTGTTTCTTAAGCTTTCTTCTTCAGTTTTGGCATGAATTTGATGGTTTTCTTGTAAGTATTTGATGATTTTTAATCTCTTAATTCTCAACCAACTCCATGACTTGCAATTATATCATTCAAAACATAATTAGTCCATTAAAACATCAACTAGGGCATAACTTAATTAAAAGGCATAAGAGAAGTTGGGAAAAATACCAACTTATCAACTCCCCCAAACTTACTCTTTGCTTGCCCTCAAGCAAATCAAAACACAAGCCAGACTCATAAGAACAACTAGACAATCAAGGTAACAACAAAATTCGGCACTCAGCCACAACCCAATTCTAAGCACAAACTCACAACTTCAGTTGGTACCAAGAATTAATCCAAAGCATATGAATCATCACATCTTTCCAAAAGGCTCAATTTTCATTCAAGTGTTTAAATACTACCAATCAAAGTCATGACATCAAAGCCTTTAAATTTACCTCTTCATCACGAAATAACTTTCTTTTGCTCATTTATCCTAATTGGAAAAAGAAATAAATTCTCAACTCGAGTTTCCATGTACCCTCACAATCAACAAAAAATCTCACACACATACTATGTCTTTCAAAACAAGAGTGGAATGACAAGTAGAAAGAATTAAGCACTCCCTCCCACAAAGATGTTCAACTGCTCAAGAGTGGTACTATAGACTTGCCCTTCGTGTAAATCTCCACCAATATAGGTACACCTAGTTCAAAATCATTTAGGACTTGTGGAAATATAATGTAGGCTTTTGATTAGAGATAAGATATTAATATAGATAAGAGGTGACTACGACCTTCCTAAGCACTACAATTCAACACTTTAAAATACTTTCTAATCAAAATTTTATCCTTTTTCTCCTTTATCAACATTAACACCATGTCAACCCTTTTTATTTCACAAATACCTTTTTTTTCTCTTTTTTTTTTGATAAATATATACACTTTTGTTAATATGGTTGTCACACCCCTTTTCTACCTCTCCAAAAAGTAATGTGCAAAATGCAACGTGTTATGGATTGTGGGTTAAAGAGTTTTTCCATTTGAACTGAAAATTTTGAAATAGAGATTATTTTATTTACAGAGTCGCCACTTGAAATTGATTTTTGTCGGTGTTCCAAGTCACCTTTTATTTGAATCCCTAGTCAAAGGAAGGTTTGACTCCTTTATTATTAGCCAGCGAAAACAAAGTACGAGTAAGGAATTCTGTTGAACGAGGAGAAGGTGTAAGGCATTCCTCGAGTCCCGTGGTTCTAGCACGGTCGCTTTATTGAGAACATTTGGCTTGAATTAAACTTGGATAAACTGTGATTTATTTGATTTTTATGCTTTTTTTATGTCCGCTTTTATTTATTAAAAAAAACTAAAAAAAAGATTTGAATTATATTAAATTGTCCTAACCGCACCACGCAAGCAAATGCCCGACTGAGACGAATTTTATTAATTTTGTCATAACAGCACTACGCTAGCGAATTCGCAGTCATGACAAGAATCATTGTTATGAGTACTAATTTAAAGATGAGACTAATGAGAGAAAATTATTAATTGACATTGCTTAAGACTAGTAAGATGTGGGCTTGTCTTGACATTGAATGAGGCAGCCCACTATTGGGTTCATGGAGTCAAATGAGCTCATGTCCAAGACAAAATCCAAAAGCCCATATGCTATTGGAATTTAAATCTGCAGATATGGCCTTTTAAAGCCATGTTACAAATTTGGCCATATCTTGTTATTTGCAATCCATAGCCAACTATTTACAAATTTTATTTTTTACAGATTGTCTTTCTAATCTACATTTTAACTGCCTTACTAAAATAAGTATTTTTTAAGAGATAAAAAAGATTATTGGGACTCTAAAATATAATAATAATAATAATAATAATAATAATAATAATAATAATAATAATAATAATAATAATAATAATAAAAACTTAGCTTGGTGATAACAAAGGGACAAACATAGCTACAACGGTTCAAATTTTAATATATATGCTCCTTTCAGACAACCAAATGCCCAGTGAAATTATATCTAATACTTTAGCAAAAAATAAAAATAAAAATAATTAAAGATGCTTAACACAATTTAATTAACTAACATATCGTTATAACATTATCAAACATTCAAGAACATATAAAAATGAATTACAATAGAAGGATGAAGCTACTAATATTTCCCAGCATCATTAATCTTTCATTCCAACTCGATTTTATGAGTTTACATGGTCCGAAAATTACCTGGACAGTAGAAAGAAGAACAAATACAACAGAGTCAGCTCTTTCCAAAATCAACAGCAAAACAATTAAACGGGCAGCAACAACAGCAAAAGACAGCGACAACCGGCAGATTCAAACCCAAGAAAATAAACTAGAAATACCCCAGCAAAACAGTTGAAACAAACAATTATGTAACTCCAGAAAAATCTTTCAAGACTACTCTATTTTTCTTAAACAAGTTTTTCACTTAAGAATGAACTCACAAAAGCTCACAATTTTCAACTGCTAAGGGATATTATAGCTACTGATTTTTTCCTCTTTTTTTTTGTGTGTAAATATCTCTTCTCCGATGGAGTGTCCTCCTTCTTTTTTATATTTGAGAAACAACCAGCTATTTCAAGATTAAAAATCAATCTTTTTGACAGATTTTTCCACAAAATCTGCTCTTAAATTCAAAAGCAAGATTTTTTTTAGTTCAAATCTTGTCAATTATTTCAAACAAAATCTGTTCTTCACTATTCAAAGATAGACTTTTTCAAAAACTGTCCAAAAGTCTATATTTTCTTACGAGATAATTTGACTTTTGAGTGTTGTACTCAAAGAGTCTTGAAATAGTACATAAACAAACAAACAAGTACCCTATACTCTCAAGTATTCTTCACTACCTCACTTTTATCAATACAAAACTATTTTACTACTTCAATAGGTGCAAAAATAGAAAATATAACATTTCAAACATAAAAAACTAATGCTAAAATAATTAATAATAGACAAAAACAAAATCTGAAAAATAAAAATAAAATAAAAAATCAGCCATGAAAAAGAATAGGATTTTTACCATTTTACAATTCAAGTGGCCGAAAAAATGGTGGTATGTCAAAAGAGAGTGTTCGGGGAGGTTGACGGAATTTGGCCATATTTTGATAGCCGGATTTTGGGATAGAATTGACATTAATAGGTAGGTCTTGAAGAGCTCTATCCATTGATGTAGGTATTGTGGGGTGGTAGTGGCCGAAACTTCAAGAATTTGGGCAAAAAAGTGACGGAAAAGTTTCCTAGATCTAAGATTCAAGGAGTTTGAGGGGTTTTTGAAGGATTTGATTTGGAGATATGGAAAGAGGAGGTGTTGGAGATTACATAATGAAATTTTGAGATGGTTTGGAGGTGGTCCGCTGCCGGTGGGCGATTTCCAGCGGCGGTGGAGGGGCGGCGGTTATGGAGAAAAAGAGAGTGAAGAGAGAGAGAGTAGAGAGAGGGAGGAGAAAAGAATTATGGGAGAAATAGGGGCAAAATTTCAGCATTTCTAAGTCTTAAATACCTAGTTGGAAGATTGATTGTGGACCATTAGATGAGGGAGGGATGAATGGATGAGATTTAATCTTGATTCACTTAATGAAACGACGTAGTTTTGAGGCAAAACTACGTAGTTTCAGACCCTTTCAATGGCAGCCCCTTATCTTGCACTCTTGTCCATTTTATCTTTCAAATTTAGCCCAATTTCTTCCTTATTCAAACTTACTAAACTAAATTTTATACAAGCAAATAAAATAATTAAATAACTTATTCAAATGATCAATTAACTAGATTAATTGACCTATTGAAGAGTTAGTTAATTTTTAAAATGCACACATAAAGAAAGAACTATTTTTGGTATTTTTATGATCGAAAATACGCAATTAAACACACAAAATTGAAAAAGTTATTAAATAATAAAAACTCTAATAAATTTAGGAGGTGTTAAAATAGCGCAAAAATTAGGTGTTTACAGCTGCCCCTCTTTGCTCGAGAACATAAAGAGTTTTCGTGCAAAGAAAAGTGAATGTCATGGCTAATTTTTTTGCTCACATTTCACTCCAATGAAAGTATTTTTTAAAAGGGTGACCGAACCTTGCTTTCGAGGTTGCCTACATATCCTTGGCTATAAAGGAATCAGGTCAGTGTAGTTCCGGAAAACTTTGGTAGTTGGAACTACTGGGAAGCTGTGATTTCACTGTTGTTGCCACTGTTTCTGCTTGCTGAGCTCCTTATTACATCAAAATGAAAAATAAAAAGCTAAACTAGCTAAGCCTACCAACTACGAGTAACAAAATTCCTATCTGTAAATCTCTTGAAGCTTGATCTTGAGTCTTGGATGGTTCTTGCTGCAAACTCCGATCTCAATCTTGATGCTCGTCAGCTGTAACTGCTGGTTCATTCTTCAGCTTTGGATCAAGGTGGAACACGTGAAGCCTGTGACTTCAATCATATCTTGAGTAGTCCGCATCCTTCTCCACTTCAGCACTTTGAGTTCATTTCTTTTTGCTCTTTTTTCTTCTTTTCTTTATTTTGGATTGAGACTCATTCTTTTGGTCGTCTCGAACCCTATGCCTCGAGGTCAAACCTGCTCAGACACCAAAACAAACAAACGAATGAAATTTTTCTTCCCCAATTTTCACTAGGAAAATTTCGTGAGTTATTGTAACATAAACCCTACACTATCTCTCTACTGATAGTAATAAAATAAGGATCATGTGTCTCATGGAGAAAGAGATTAGGAAGTGGAGCCCTATATCTAAAATAACCTCAACTAGGGATTGGATAACCTATGTTGGAAAATGCGACTAGGGAGTGGAGGCCCTATGTCTAAAAATCTCAACTAGGGGTTGGAGACCCTATGTTGGCAAAAGGCGACTAAGGGATGGAGACCCTATGTCTAAAAAAATCTCAACTAGGGGTTGGAGACACTATGGTGGCAAAAGGCGACTAGAGAACGGAGTCCCTATGTCTAAAATCTCAACTAGGGATTGGAGCCCTATGTTGGCAAAAAGGGACTAGGGAATGGAGGCCCTATGTCTAAAAATCTCAACTAGGGATTGGAGCCCTATGTTGGCAAAAGGCGACTAGGGAATGGAGACCCTATGTCTAAAATCGCAACTAGGGATTGGAGCCCTATATTGGCAAAAGGCGACTAGGAATGGAGGCCCTATGTCTAAAAATCTCAACTAGGGATTGGAGCCCTATGTTGGCAAAAGGCGACTAGGGAATGGAGGCCCTATATCTAAAAATCTCAACTAGGGATTGAAGCTCTATGTTGGCAAAAGACGACTAGGGAATGGAGGCCCTATATCTCAAATCTCAACTAGGGATTGGAGTCTTATATTGGCAAAACGAGACTAGGGAATGGAGGCCCTATGTCTAAAAATCTCAACTAGGGATTGGAGCCCTATGTTGGCAAAAGGCGACTAGTGAATGGAGACCCTATGTCAAAATTTCAACTAGGGATTGTAGCCCTATGTTGGCAAAATGCGACTAGAGAACGGAGGCCCTATGTCTAAAATCTCAACTAGGGATTGGAGACCTATGTTGGCAAAAGGCGACTAGGGAATGAAGGCCTATGTCTAAAATCTCAACTAGGGATTGTAGCCCTATGTTGGCAAAAGGCGACTAGGAAATGGATGCCCTATGTCTAAAAATCTCAATTAGGGATTGGAGCCCTATAGGCAACAAGGCGACTAGGGAATGAAGGCCCTATGTCTAAAAATCTCAACTAGGGATTGAAGGCCCTATGTTGGCAAAAGGCGACTAGGGAATGGAAGCCCTATGGCGACTAGGTAATGGAGGCCCTATGTCTAAAAATATCAACTAGGGATTGGAGCCCTATGTTGGCAAAACGAAACTAGGGAATGGAGGCCCTATGTCTAAAATCTCTACTAGGGATTGGAGCCCTAAGATGGAAAAATACGACTAGGGAATGAAGGCCCTATGTCTAAAAATCTCAACTAGGGATTGGAGCCCTATGTTGGCAAAAGGCGACTAGTGAATGGAGACCCTATGTCAAAATTTCAACTAGGGATTGTAGCCCTATGTTGGCAAAATGCGACTAGAGAACGGAGGCCCTATGTCTA